AAACTGCAATTTACAGATTATTTACCAATTATTCACGTGACAAAGTCACAGATCTTTTACAAATTTGGATTTATTTTTATATATTGGATTCTTTATAAAGCAAGATCAGCATAAAAATTTCGGCAAGTGGCGCAGCACGTGATGTCTTTAGATGATTCGCACCATACTCAATTTTAGAGGATGATCGGCAATAATTGCAACACATGTTATATACAAACTGTCCTGTCATCTGGCTTTAACTCAATTGTATGTCACCAAAATCGATTGTACAACAATATCAACAATATATTCTAATTCTCCACTTTCTACTTTATAGATTGCAAAAGCAATTCAGTAAAAGGTGAAGTAATTCAGATGTTAGTTATAGAAATCTTTTTTTGCATTTGGTAAATCATATGTTCACTGAAAATAATAAACTTAAATTAACAACTGTTAGGGACCATAAATAATACCAATAGAAAGCCCAAGTTCTGTTTAGTATCCTGGTTAGTAATTTGAATAAGTAAAGCATTTATTTAAATTATTCTTTTGTAGGTACATTTATAAATGTTAATCATAATTTTTGCATTATTTCATAGTTCTAAATCATGTCATATAAAGGACTACTGAACCAAAAGAAGGCATGAGTTGGTTATTAGTCTATGATGAGAACTCATGAACAAATTTATTATAATTTATTTAATATTAATATATTCAATATCTTTCATTCATTAGATAAGAATCATGTAATATTTAATATATCATAAGTAGTGAATAAATGATACATTTATTGGTTTTCAATGTATTATTGATATATGATGTGCTGTCTCAAACCATAGGTGTGCTTTATTACATTGTAATTATAGCAAGAGTTTTCACTAAGGATGTTAGCTGAAATGGATTTTGAAAAAAAAACAATTTCGGCAAGCAATTTTGGATTTACAATATTCTTTATATCTATAGGCATAAAATACTACCCAGAATTTCAGCTATTTAGTTAAAGTGCTCAAATAATTTCAGATATAATTTTGGCAACTAATAAGATTAATTTCGGCATCTATGAAAAACTATTTCGGAATTTTGGATTAGGTGATGATCATTTATTAAGAGAGCCAATTTTGGCTAACATGCTTAGAGCCAACCATAGGGCAGATTTTAGGGTCCACATTTTTTGAGGGTCTAAGCCATGGTAGATAATATCAAAATCAGTTGAATCAATTATTTCACCCTCAGTTTTGTTATGGTTTGTTGCCAGATCCAGCAAAGGTTTCTCTCTATCAGTTTATTAATTAACAAAGGATTACTGTATTCTCTGGAATATAAACACCACTCAAACATAAGCACCAGTATAAATTTGCAATGAAAAAACAAAAAAATAGAAAAATAAATATAAGCACACATATATTTTGAATTATTTTTTATTTTGACTATTCTTTTCCAGAATCACCAGACTCCTCCTCTTTTAATTCATCTAAATCATCAGCTGAAGCATCATTTCTATTTAATATTTCATGTTCATTTTCATTTTCATCCCATATAAATATAACACAAATTATCTGAAATAAAATGACTTGAATATAAGCACTGCCCACAGTTTTGTTGACAAAAAATGTCAAAATGGTGGTGCTTATATTCCAGAGAATACGGGAATTAAATCAAAGGTCAATAATTATTTAGAGTAAATATGTTATGTGTATTATCAGTGATAATATTATTATTACAATGTGGTTAGAGTATTAGAAAGGTGTTAATTATTAGATCAATAATTCAGAAGATTGTTCTATAAACATGATGATTTTAACTTGGTCTCAAACCAAGTCTTTTTATACCTCTTAGGGTATTACAAATAACATGACTTTTACTCTATTTTGTCCAATAAGATATGCTACCTTCTGTCTTATTTGCTTACTAATTATTAATTACTAATTCCAAGT